CTGGCTGGTGCCCAGCTGGACAGCAGGGAATAGCAGTCTATTTAAAGGCACTGCTGCTGGCATAAGGCTGGCTGGAATTCCTGCCCCATCTCAGACCTCGCTGGGGTGTGGGATGAAGGCTCTGCAGGCAGAGCTCCCAGCCAGGCACATCCCACGGCATGGGGCAGTGTCCCCATGGAACAGGGACTGTCCCTGAGGGGACAGCAGGGAATGGGCAGCAGCATCTCCCGGCAGAGCTCCTCGTTTCCCCTTCCCCTGCATGGCAATCCCACAGTGCTGGGAATCCCACAGCAGTGCTGGGAATGGCGCCGAGATCCAGGAGGAGTGGCTGCTCCCAGGAATGCTGCTGGAATTCCCTGGCACTGCCACATTCCCTGTTCACTGTCACTGTGCCCACCCTGGGCTTGTCCAGTGGTCAGAACCTCCCCAGAGGGGCCAGGGCCATGCCAGGGCTGTGCCAGGGCCGTGCCAGGGCTGGGGGCTCCAGGGAGGGCTCTGGGGAAGCCAAGGCAGGAGCTGAGGTTGGTTCCTCCTCTCCAAGGTTTAATTACCCACGAGCAGCGCTGCCCCCACGCTCCCCTCGCTCAACATCTGGCCAAGTCAAACACAGCTGGAAGAGCTCTGTGTGCAGCCCTCCCGGTGGGGGCTGGCTCCCACGGCTGAGGGGCACGGGCAGTGCTGATCAAACACTCCAAACTCGGCACAGCTGCGTTCCCAGGGCCCGCTGGGGCAGGCAGGGGCATCCCGAGGCTCCCTGCAGCAGGAGAGATGGAAATGCAGAGGAACGAGGGAGCAGCTGCTGCCCGAGCATGGCCACGGGCTCAGGAACAGCCCAGGTGGGGCCTCACCTGCACTGGGGGGAGCCCCCGTGCCCACTGCAGACAGGGACAGTCACACTCTGGGACAGGGGATGGCCAACGCCACAGAAATGGAAGCACAAAGTCCTACAGAGGGAGCTGAAATGGGATGGGACAGTTTGGTCCCCCAGGAGGGAGGCAGCCCTGGGCACGGAGTGCTCGCGGAGCAGTTTGACAATTCCACAGTAATTCTTACAAATCCCTAATTTGGCCTTGCTGTAAACCCAGTGCAGAGACTCTCAAAAATCTCAGCCACAGCAGGGCCGTGCCAGGACTGTCCCAGCACTGTCACCTCCCGGGGCCATCCAGGCAAACAGGGCCAACCAACCAGGGCCAACCAGGGCTGTTTGTGTCACACACGGAGCCTGCTCTGAAATCCCCTGCCCACATCTCTCCCAGGAGCAGGGAGGAGCGAGGCAGCTCCTGCTCATCCACGACACTCCCTGTGCAAACACGAGGCTGGAGAGGAGTCACTGGAGCCACCAGAGCCAGTTTATTGTCACAGCACAGCCCAGAGGTCACAGCCCGTCCTGGCCCTTCCTCCAGGAGACCCAGGAGCTGTGGGGACAGCGATTGGCACAGGGAGCTGTGGCCAGGCTGCTCCAAACCCTCCTGCTGGATCAGTAAATGGCCTCTCCACTGTGGCAACAAGCAATGGAAGGAGCTGCATTAACCCCTTCAGCACCAGCCCTGCTTCCCCCTCATACCCAGGAGGAGTGCAGCCACCAGGACCTGGCCTGGCCTTGGCACATCATCCCTGCAGGGGCTGGATCCTCTCTGCTGCTGCCAGGACATTCACCAGAGACAAAACCAGAGCAGGGAGATGCAGCACACCCTCCTCAGGCCTCTGCTGTGGCCATGCCAACCCCAGGGACCAGGGATTCCCCAAAGCACCAGCAGTGGAAGTAATGATCCCTGCAGGTGAAGCAGGGCCACCTTGGACAGCCCAGCACCCGCTGAAGGAGCCCTGGAGGAGCAGAACTGCTCCTGGTGAAGCCAAGGCTCTGGAGGAGCAGAACTGCTCCTGGCAGCAGGGCTCTGCTGAAGCCAAGGCTCTCTCTGCTGGGAATGGGCTGCGTTGCAGCTCAGCCGGGACTGAGCAGAGAACGAAGCACCGGCAGCAGAGCAGGACCTGTCCTGTCCTGTCCTGTCCTGTCCTGGTGGGGCTGGCTGTCCCCACAGGGCTGGGGAGAGCAGGGACACAGCCCTGGGATCATCCAGTGCAGCTCCAGAGGCTCTGCCAGCACCGCACTGGTGTCAAACCCAGGCCCAGGGACTGGGGGGCTGCTATGGAACATTAGTGGGGACACAGCAGTGGGAGTGGGGTGGCTCCAAGGCACTCACTGCCTTGGGGACACATGAGGAGGATGAGGATGCCCTGGCCAGTCTGTGGAACACAAGAGAGAGGACAGGGAGAGCACAGCTCCACCCAGAGCTGCTGCTGGCCCAGTCCCTGGGGTCACTTTTTGTCTAGCACCAGATCCCACAACCCCAATAACAGCCCCACAAAGTCTCCAAGGACCCTCCAGTCATTCTGCTGTCACAGAAACGCAGATGAAGGGCTGTGGCTTCAAGAACATCATAAATAAAGATCTGCAGTGTCCTGAAGAGCATCTGCAAGCTGACAGGTGAGCTCGTTCCAAGAGCAGCCAGATCTGCCACCACCTGGCTGCCAGCAGAGTTCCAGAGCCTTCAGCATCCCCTGAGTCCTCAGAGGGGTTGGGCTCCCTGCAGGGCTCCCAGGGCACTCTGGAGTGCTGATTCCTGCAGCTTCAGTGTCCACAGCAGCACAAGGAAACGCGTCCAGTCCCCGAGGAAACACCAGCAGGAGCAGCAGAGTCTGTGGATCCATCATCCATCCTGCCAAAGCTGAACTCTGACGCTGCAGCAGGGCCCACCAGGGAGGAATCCTGGCTCCTGATGGCTCCTGGCACTGGCAGGAGCTCCACGCTGGCACTGGGGGAGATTTCTGCCAGCCCAGGGCTGAGCCCTGCCCGGCCCCTCAGCTCCCAGCAGGAGCAGGGCTGAGCACCCAGGCTGGGCCCAAAGCAAACCCCAACCTGGGGCTGGCTCTGTGAGAGCCAGGGGGGTCCAGCTCAGAGCTCCAGCACTGCCCAGGGGCAGCAGGACAGGGACAGCGCCAGCCCTGCACAGATGGACACAGGACAGAGCAGGACAGAGGGACACGGACACCAGAGTGCTCCACAGGCTCGTGCTCACCCAGCCCATGGTCGCTCTGATTTCCTGGGGTTTGGCCAGAGCAAAGGCAGACTGACCACCAGAATCAAACCTACAGAGAAAAATTTGGCTTTGGATGATTTAGAGTTGCTGTTTAATCCCGAGACAGCGCAGCTGAGTGAGTCTGGAGTTTAAGTTACAAAAAAAGAAAGCACTAGAAAATAATCTTGATACAAGAGCGATAATCAGCTGAGGTTCCCCACCCCGTGCAGGGAATCCTGCTCCACAATCCACCCAGCACAGCTGGGATGCTGCCAAGGCATTGCCTGCTCCCAGCACACTCTGGGAGGGCAAACTGTCCAGGGGGAGAGTCTGGAGGGGGATCCCCAGCACTGGGAGTTAAGATGCTGCCACCAGCTCTGCCTTTGGCCTGTTCTTGATGGGTGACACTTCTGTGGAAGGAAAAGAAACTTGTTACAGAAGCAGGGGATGCAAATATCCTGCAGCCACCTCCTGAGGGGGATCCAGGCCTCAGAGTCCCCTCTGCACAGCACCTGGACTGAGAGAAATTGGTTATAAATAATCCCACATTCCCACGTGGAAATGCCCCTTTTTCACAGCACTGAAGGATTACAGACTCTCAGAGCATGGCCAGCCCAGGGACAGATCCTGGGCAGGAGGAGAAACTGGAGGAGGAGCAGGGCCAGCCCTGCCCTCAGCCCTGGGCTGTTTTGTTTGGCCTCAGTGCTGACATCTGAGCCCTGTTTAGGAGTAAACAAGCTCCAAGGAAACCAGCCCCATTCCCCTCATGCCAGATTGCTCCTGGGCAGATTCCACAGAGGGAAATGGCTCCTTCCAGCCCCTCTCTGCACAGGCAGGGAGGTCCAGCTCCTGTGAGAGACAGCTCAGGGCTCTGCTGTCCCAGGAGAAGTCTTCACTGAGTTCACAGACACCTGATGAATCCCAGTGGGCTCCTTCCCTGCCAGGCAGGGCCACCAGGGCCTGTTTGGTGACTTTCTTAGTGAGCTCTCCCATTTCCCAGCTTCATTCCCACACAAATCCATGCACGGAGGCTTCAGATCACTCAGGAACACTCGGGGACCACCAGCTGTGAGCTCTGACAATCCTGGAACTGTGGGACTGCAGTGATCCTCATCCAGCTGCTTCCACAGCACTGGGAAGAGCTCCAAGGGAAATGCAGAGCTGTGCAGGGTGAGCCCAGCATCCACAAATACCCTGAGCTGCACGATGGGCCTGGCCCAGGGCTGTGGGGGAAGCCTTGGCTGGCTCAGGCAAGGCAGGAATTCCTGATGGAGCTCCTGGTGGAATGAGGTGTCTCAGGGCAGGGGCAGGATGTGACAGGGACAGCAGTGTCACCCAGGGAGCTGCCCAAGGCAATGCCAGATGCTGATGGGACAGGGAGTGCAGCCTGGGGTGCTCGGGCAGTGAGGGCTCAGCCTGGCCTGTCCCTCCCCAGGAGCTGCTGTCCCACCCCAGGAGCTGCTGTCCCCTCCCTTTCCCAACACACTGACACTGCAGGGACAGCAGCACCTGAAGCCACAGCTGTGCAAGGAGAACATACCTGGGATCTTCTCTGGGAGTGGCTCTGAAGGAACTTCTGGGAGCTCCAACTGTTCCTGTGAGGACATTACAGACAATGTGTCACACGTGTCACAGCTGTGGGCAAGCATGGGGGGACAATGGCCCATTTCCCCCAGACTGAGCTCTGAGAGCAGCAAAAAGGGGGGACAATGGCCCACATTCCCCCCAGATCAGCTCTGAGAGCAGCAAAAAGGAACTTTAACTGCTGCTAAAAGCAGCTTCCTGGAAATGGGGATTTTAACCACAGAAACATCAACCCCACCTGAGTAATGGCATTTAATTCTTCTAGAATGGCATCTTCATCCTCCTCAGTCAGGCTGCCAGCCAGGAGCTCGTCTATTTGCTGTGGGGACAGGGAAGGAGCTCAATCCCAGCCCAGCAGCTCTGAGCACAGGCTGCTCCCAGCCCCCTGCACTCACCCTCTGGTACTCCACAGCATCCTGGGTCTCTCCTATTATCCTCTCCACCTCCTCTATGGACATCACCTGGAGGGCAGAGCCACAATGCAGATGAGGGAGGGCCCAGCAGGGAGGCAGCCCCAGCCAGCCCCCCCTGAGGTGCCCCACCCTGTACCTGGTGCATTTTGTTCAGACACTCGTTGCCAATCTTCAGGCCCTCGATGACCTTCATCTCAATCTGGGTGAATTCAATGTCCTGGACCTGCAGTGGGGAGGAGAAAGGGCAGAGGAGCTTGGCACACCTTGGCATGGCACGGGCATGGCACAGGCTGCCCTGTGAGCCCTGCAGGGATTAACAGACATGGTGTGATGGTGTTCACAGGGGTCTGAGGGTGAGGGAAGAGATGAGGATCTGACTCCATGTTTCAGAAGGCTGATTTATTATTTTATGATATATATTATATTAAAACTATACTAAAAGAATAGAAAAAAGGATTTCATCAGAAGGCTGACTAAGAATACAAGAAAAAAGAATGATAACAAAGGTTTGTGGCTCAGCTCTGTGTCCAAGCCAGCTCACTGTGATTGGCCATTAATTACAAACAACCACACGAGACCAATCACAGATGCACCTGTTGCATTCCACAGCAGCAGATAATCAATGTTTGCATTTTTGTTCCTGAGGCCTCTCAGCTTCTCAGGAGGAAAAATCCCATTTTATCTTTCCATAAAAGATGTCTGTGACAGACATGGGGATGTGGCAGCTGGGGACAGAGGTGGCCCTGGCAGAGCTGGGCAGTGACTGGGCTCAGGGGGCTCTTCCCACCTAAATGATGCCATGGCTGCCACTCTGAGGCACACACAGGCTGCCAGGAGGAATCAGGGGAGCCCTTCCAGTGCTGCCAGCGGCACCAGCAGCAGGAAACATCCACACCAGCAGGTCCAACAGCCCTTGAGGTGATTTCACCGGATTTTCCAGCCGCCAGCCCCAGCTGAGACCTCCCCAAACCCAAACACATCCAGCTCTGAAATGACAGGGCTGACTCAAGGCAGGAAGGCCCCAGTGCAGCCATCCCCCCTGTGAGTAACGTTCCAGCAATCTCCAAACCACACATTTAGCAGGGCACCTGCAGTTTTAAACACACCACTCCGTGTCTCCAGGGAAAATCGTGGCACATGCACAATTCTGGAGACATTGCCCCTGGACAGAGGCTGGACCCCTGCCAGCTGCAATGGAGTGGAATTCCAGGGGATCCCCACCCCAGGAGAGCCCCAGGGCTGCCTCACCATCCGCTCCAGGTTGCTGATCTGGTTCTCTGTTTTGTCCAGCAGCTGCTCCTGGTACCGTTTCTTCTTCAGCAGGAGCATGGCCTTCCTGAGGGACACAGAGGGGTGAAGCAACTGGAGCCCAAAGGAGCCCACCACAGCCACGAGTCTTGTTCTGGGCTTCTGCTAAAAGGGGACAACTTGCGTGCAGCTCAACTGGCAGCCTGCACCTGCTCCTTGAGGAGCAAGGCTGAGCAAACCGGGTATGGGGAATAAATCCTGCCCTGG